ACGATAATAAGATAACAAATACATTACAGTAACTATTTTTAAGAAGTCAATCTAGTGTCTGGACAAGTGCTATCTTCTCAATTAACAACTAAATGATGCAGTACTATGTTAATTCCTCAATTTCACCTATTATTTACTGACTGGCTTGTTTGATCTACACCAAATCTTATCCTAGGTTCTGAGGAATGCAAAAAAGAGCAAGCCAAGATCTCTACCTTTTCGAAAAGCCCAGTAGAGAGACACCCAAACGTGGAAGACGTTTATTTTCTTAATTGTATTTCATTGATTATGCTATTACAGTTGTCCTGATTATTCCCCCTTTGCACCCCTCCACCCAGCACCCCCCACTCCCTCAGGCAATTCCCACACCATTGTTCATGTCCATGGGTCATGTGTATAACTTCTTTGCCTACTCCATTTCCTATACTGTACTTTACATCCCCATGGCTATTCTGTAACCACCTATTTGTACTCCTTAATCCCCTCACCTCTTAACCCATTCCCCCACACCTCCATCCCATCAGGCAACCATCAAAACACACTCTGTATCCATGATTCTGTCTCTGTTCTTCTTGTTTGCTTAGTTTGTTTTTTAGATTCAATTGTTGATAGGTATGTATTTATTGCCATTTTATTGTTCATAGTTTTGATTTCTTTTTCTTAAATAAATCCCTTTATCATTTCATATAATAACGGTTTGGTGATGATGAACTCCTTTAGTTTTTTCTTATCTTGGAAGCTCTTTATCTGTCCTGCAATTCTAAATGATAGCTTTGCTGGGTAGAGCAGTCTTGGCTGTAGGTCCCTGCTTTTCATGACTTTGAATATTCCTTGCCAATCCCATCTGGCCTGCAACATTTTTTAAAATCAGCTGACGGTCTTATGGGAACTCCCATGTAGATAACTAACTACTTTTCTCTTGCTGTTTTTAAGATACTCTATCTTTAACCTTTGGCCTTTTAATTATGATGTGTCTTGGAGCGGGCCTCTTTGTATCATCTTGTTCCAGACTCTCTGTGCTTCCTGAACTTGCATGTGTATTTTCTTTACCAAATTAAGGAAGTTTTCTTTCATTATTTTTTTCAAATAGGTTTCCAATTCTGTGCTCTTTCTCTTCTCCTTCTGGAACCCCTATGATGTGAATGTCGGACCTCTTGAAGTTGTCCCACAGGCTGCTTATACTATCTTCATGTTTTTTTCTTCTTTTTTCTTCCTGTTGTTCTGATTGGTTGTTTTTTGCTTCCTTGTGTTCCAAATCATTGATTTGATTCTCAACTTCATGTACTCAACTGTTGTTTCCCTGTAAATGGTTATTTATTTCAGTTGGTGAGTCCTTCATTTTTGACTGGATCCTTTTTATGCTGCTGAGGTCCTCACTAAATTCCTTGAACATCCTTAAAACCAGTGTTTTGAACTCTGCATCTGATAGATCGCTTATCTCCCTTTCTCTGGAGTTTTGATCTGTCATTTCATTTGGACCATGTTTGTTTATCTCCTCATTTTGGCAGCCTCCCTGTGTTTGTTTCTGTGTATTAGGTAGAGCTGCTATGGCTCTGTGTCTTGGTAGTGTGGCCTAATGTAGTAGGTGTCCTGTAGGATCCAGTGGCACAGCCTCCATATCACCCAAAGTGGCACCTTGATGTGTGCCCTTTTTGTGTGCTGAGTACACCCTCCTCTTATAGTTGAGCCTTGGTTGTTGTTGGCATGTCAAGGAGAGGGCTTTATTCAGGTCAGTCAGATGCAAGGATTGGCTGTGACCACTTACCACCAACCTCTGCCCTCTGTGGAGGATCAGCTGTGCAAGGGCAGGGTGATAGTTCTCTGACATGGTCTGTAGCTGTCCACTGGGTGCAGTGGCCCTGGGGTTTGCTGAGTGGTGTAGGCCAAGGTCAGTCCTAACCTGTGTTCTTCCCAGGGCCACCTTGCCTTCTATAAAACAATCTGAGAAGGCTGCTGCTTGTGCTAGGCTTGGAGATTCCTAGGCAAACCAAGCCATGAATATAGGCTGGCTGCTGCTAGTGCCAGAGACTGGGGCTCACTGAGGCCAGCCGTTGCTTGTTTGAGAGGATTTAGAAAGTTGTGAAGCATGAGCCAAGACTAGCCATTCATATGGAAAGGCAGCTTGGGTGGGCCTGTAACTCATGGGGCAGAGTCTCTGGGGATCTGCAAGGTGGGTTAAACAGTGTTAGCCAGGCTGACAGGGTTTCAGATACGTCACCAGCTTACTGGCTTTGTGGGAGTGGAGAGTTTAGAAAAGGGATAATGGCCTCTGCCTTGTTGCCAGACACTTCAGTTCTTCCCTTTATGCCACCAGTGCCTTTGAAGCTGCTACTCCAGTGCTGGAGGTCAGAGGGAGTGAGTCTGAATAGGTGAGTCCGTGTGTGGGTTCTTTAAGAGAAACTGCTTGGGACTCCAGCGGTTTCTTCCCCTAACTCAATCCCTGCTGGTTTTGCAGCCAGAAGTTGTAGGGACTTATCTTCTTGGCACTGGAACCCTGGGGTAGTGGCCCGGTTGTGCGGTTGGGACTCTTCACTACTGAGATATCCCTCCCAAATTTTTATCCACCACACGTAGGTGAGGGACCAGCCCATTCTGCATTTGTGCCCTTCCTACCAGTCTGGATGGATGTGGTTTTTTAATTCCGTAGTTGTCAGACTTCCATTCAACTAAATTTCTGATGGTTCTGAGTGATGGTTGTTCTATAATTTGGTTGTGATTTTGATGTGGTAGTGTGGAGAGGCAAGCCGTGTTTACCTATACTGCCCCCTTGACAGGAAGTCCTGATTTATTATTTTTATTTACATAGCATTTCCTCCTCAGAGAGCTTTAGTGTCAAGACACATAGTAGGTGTTCAATATTGTTTAATGAATGAATAACTGAGTTATGGTGATTTTAAGAAAATCTTCAAGTAATACTCTTCCAACTGAGTACCAAGATGAATGATGCAAGGGGATTGGTGTCTGGAGAGCAAAATACTTCCCTTTAGGTTGGTTAATGGTCATATTCAACTAAGGAACCAAAATAGTAGGGTTTTTTTTCTTTGACAATAAAAGGACTCATTGGTATCATTTAAAAAATATGTATAGAATAATATTGCATCAGTTTCCAAAAAGTTGAATTTGCACCTGTTTACCTTTCAGTCAATCCCTGTGCTTCTTTCCTACAAAAACCCTACTGAAAATGTCCATCAGGATAAAAACAGACCTAACTACATCTTATTTTCTTCAACATAAAATCAGACAAAGATATAATCACCTATCCATACCCAGTCTAGTCTACATTCTCCTCAATAGAGTAAATCCACATAGCACAACATCAAAGTAGTGTAATACAGTTGCATTTTCACACAGAAATAAGAAATTCACATGATATTCTTTAGTTTCTTCTCCAAGATTTTATATTTGGGGAAAAATTATGTGGGAATTATTGTATCATTGGGTTTTTATTAGGACTTAAAATTATGAAAGTGTCATTGTTTAATATAAACACATTTCATGGGAAATAAGAGTGCTGTTATAAAGGAAACTAAACCAGATGGTAGTATTTTCCTGACAACTGAGTACCTAACAAAACTACTTAGCAGATTAATGACCATTCTTCAGTTGTCCTCCCCCAAAATGTAGCAGGAAAAAAAAGGAGGGGAATAGGACAAAATACATCTTTTTAAAAGAACCTTAAAATTTTATTTTTCAATTATAGTTTACATTTAATATTACTTTGTATTAATTTTAGATATACAGCATAGTGGTTAGACAATCATATACTTTACAAAGTTTTCCCCCTAATATTTCCAGTACCCACCCTGCACCATCCATAGTTATTACAGTATTATTGACTATATTCCTTATGATGTACTTTACATCCCTGTGACTATTTTGAAACTACCAATTTGTGCTTCTTAATCTCTTCACCTTTCACTCAGTTCTTCAACACCCCTCTATTCTGGCAACCACCAGTCTGCTCTCTGTGTCTATGAGTCTTTCAATTTTCTTTGTCCGTTTATCTTATTCCTTAAGTACTATATATATATATATATATATATATATATATATATATATATATATAATCATATGGTAGTAGGATAAAGTATATCTCAAAAGTTTAGGATCTATTTATCTTTAAGCAACTAAGTCTACTAAAACTAAAATGTGACTTAGCTTTGAAATACAGATCACGGTGACATCAGCTGCCACTCTTGATATCAAATGTGTGTTGGTTACCTCTCAGTAAATTTGAAGACATGATACAACTTATTTTGCTGGCCAGCATCAGCACCAAGACCATCCAGCACCAAGGAATGCCTTGCTTTTTTGTCCCCTTTCTGAATAGGCTTTAAAAATGTGGAGACTCAACTGAAGTATGATGAAAACCTGTTAATTCAAAGCACAGGAAACCTTCTTTTTCCCTTCTGTCCATGTCCTTCACCCATAACTTAGCAAAAACTAAACTAAAATTTAAAAGCTACTTATAATTAAAGGGGATCCAATGAGTAGGAAATTAAATGTTTTGTAGGAAAGCAGAGTGGTCCAAGAAACTTGAGTGGCCTTAATATTTGCCTTTGGGACAAGGTCTCTGGAAACCTTCATTAATTTTCTGATTCTCAACAAGTTATTTCATCTTTCACTTTCTTTTTATCTGCAGGCTTAACCCCACTTCACAATCAGTAGGTTTTAAAGAGAAGAACCTATATCAAATGGATTTGGAAATATCAATTATTTGACATTCTAGAAAGGTTTTTGACTGGCTAATAATGGAATCTGTTTCAGAACCATGTGTCAATGTTTGCTTGACTTGTTTGAACTTGGTTATGAATTCTATGAAGGTGGCAACTGTCCTTTCCTACATTAAAATGTCAGGAATCTTGTGGGTGCTTCATATATATTAATTGATGATGACAGAGAAAAAATAACATTCATTCCATCCTAGAGTCCTTCCTCTGAGTTATACTTAGTTTCACAGATTTAGTAGGGTCACTACACAAGTATAAGAAGAAACTATGATCCTTTTCTAGTTCATAAGCATGATGATTAGGTGTTCATGCTCTTTGTGAGATGTGCCTCCCTCAAACCTTGTTATCACATTGACATATTACTGGTCCGGCATGAAAGAGGGGGAAAAAAGAAACCACAGTAGGGTATATTGGAAAAACAAAGACTCGAGAAATAGATGTTAGTTGGTTGGGAGTCTGGTACTGTCAATAGCAATATAACCTTGGGCCTGATTCTTCTTTTATAAAATAGGGATAATAATGCTTTCTTTTAAAAAAAGATTTTGTTTAGAGGGAAAGGGAAGGAGAGGGAAAGGGAAGGAGAAAGACAGGGAGAGAAACATCAGTGTGTGGTTGCCTCTCCTGTGCCCCCACTGGGGACATGGCTCACAACCCAGGCATGTGCCCTGACTGGGAATGTAATCTGTGATCCTTTGATTCTCAGGCCAGCACTCAATCCACTGAGCCACACCAGCCAGGGTAATAATACTTTTCCAATAGAGTTGTTTTGAGGATACATATAGTGCCAAACTGCTTATGGTTTCCAAAATATGATATACTGTTTAGTGCTTCCATGTCCGTACCTGGAAGCTGAGCCTGGAATAACCATTTTCTTGTATCTACATTTTACCTCTCCTGTTGTTTGGTAAGTGCCTGATCTTTTGGAAAGACACAATTCAAGCACTAACTTATTTGTGAAGCCTATTCTGACCCAATAAATGGTAGACAGATATGGTGTCAACCTAATGTTGAATGAATGAGTATCTGGAAGCCAGTAAGTGCTAAATATGTTTGCTTTTTCATCACCAGCCCCTTTTCTGCTTAATCCCAACAACTCTCTGTTTAAACAACTTGTTTAATATTATTAATTCTCCTTTTTATCTTAAAACATTCCAAAGTCAATTGGATAGGGATATATAACCCTTCTAGTGAAGAAGGAGTTGATAATTGCTTGTAATAATGCATTCTACTTTTAAAAAGCAACAGGTTTGATATTTCAACTATGAAAAAGATTGAGGGACTATAATATCCATGAGTCCTTTGTAAAAAAATTACTTAACAATATGAAATCAAATAAGAAAGGAGTCAAAATGAAGAATTAAGAATGGATATTTAAGCCCTGGCTGGTGCAGCTCAAGTGGATTGAGCACGGGCCTGCGAACCAAAAGATCGTGGTTCGATTCCCTGTCAGGGCACATGCCTAGGTTGCAGGCCATTTTCCAGCAGGGGCCAGTTCCCAGAAGCAGATGTGCCAGAAGCAACCACACATTGATATTTTTCTCCTCTCCCTCCCTTCCCTTCTAAAGATAAATAAATAAATAAAATTTTTAAAGAATGGACATTTTACAGTGACCAATATATTTAAATGAAGAGCTAAAACTAAACAAGGTTGATTATGAATATGTGACAGAATGAAACTACCATAAACCCTGACACAACAAAAATCCATTCATTTGTCCATTAAATACACATCATTTAGTATCTACTTCATGCCACACAATGTTCTAGGCACTATGGATATAGTCCTCATCAAAATGAAGTCTCAGTCTTCATGAAACTTAGAAAGACATATAATACACATATGTTTACATATTATCTAAATATAGAAAGTGATGAGTGCTATGAAGTAAACAGTATAAAGTATTACAGAATGATGAGGGTGCTATTGCAGATAGTGTGGTCAAGGACTGCCTCTATGAAAAGAGGAGGTATGAGCAGAGAACAGAGTGAACTAAGGGAAAGAGCCAATGCAAATGCAATGTTGCATTGTTATTGTATGGGAATACTTATACTAAAACATTATTTGTTTTGTGCCTGAAATTTAAATGTAAGTGGTCCTACTGTATTATTTCTTTTTGCTACATTTGACACTAAAACACACTGTCAGCTGACTAGGAAATACTTTGAATACTTTGTGCCTTTTCTTATCCCATTTAGATTTGTCTTTTAATTAAAGGTAGACTTTAAAAATATGTACAGTTGACCCTTGAACAATGTGTGGAGGGTATAGCGGTACTGACCTCCCAGGGAGTTTGAAATTCACGTATAACTAATTCAATTTGAGCCATTACTAAATACAGTGTGTGGCAAAAGTAGGTTTACAGTTGTGAGTATGTGAAACACACTGTTTATTTTTATATTATTATTTACTAATTATTGTATTATTTTCCATACAAACAACTGAAAACTACTTTTGCCCCACCCTGTATTCTACACGTATATATGTATGCACATACTTTATTTATACATATTGTTATATTATTTATACATATATATATGAGACACAGTAAGCACCCAATAATACAGAATATGTAACACACGTATGAACAGAAAACACCTGAAACACAAGAAAAATTGACTGTATTGTTGATAGGGCCATTCTGTGAAACATATTCTGTAGCCATCCTTCTCTTCAGTTATTTCAAGTACAAGGCTGAGAAGACGTGGTCTCCAGTCCGATTTGGAGCTAGCGGTCCCTAGGTGGAACCAAAAGGATGCCTGGAACCAATTGTAACGGTGACTTGTTTAATACCCACACTCCTTTCCTGCAGGCTACAAGCCACGTAAGCCTGGGGAAGAGTATTGCCGATGTACCGGGAATGTTTCCACGGTTTCCTTAGCTTTTGGAGATTGCGCAGTGGTGGGTTTCCTTAGCTTTTGGAGATTGCGCAGTGGTGGGTTTCCTTAGCATTCGGAGATTGCGCAGTGGTGGGTTCTGGGAATTAGGCGGGTTCCCAGGCTTAGGAGGCGGTTCCCTATTTTCGCAACAACAATGGCTCAGGGTACGCTGTCCCCTGCTGGTGGGATACTGGGAGGGTTCCGGGCTCCGGGCTTACTTTCCAGGGAAAGTATCGCAGTTGGTCCAGGACCCTGGAGCGCAGCAAGTCCAGGCATTCCCTGTGGGAGCTACCACTCTCCCTGGCACTCCTGCTCTCGGTCAGGGGATCCAAATGTCTTCGGGCATCAGCTGGGTGGCTGCAGCCAAGGTTACCAAAACCGGCTCTACTGCCCTGGTTCAAGGTATCTTTTGGGAGAGTGGATCGTGGTATCTCACAGCACCTGCTTCGCTTTTGCCTCTTCGGCTGCCTGTTGCAGTCCCAGTGGGAGCTACAAGCCTTGACCTAGCCTCCTGAACTAGAACAGAGAGGAGATGGGTGAGAATGATGCGCCTTTGCTCAGTGAACCTGCCTTCTGAGTCTGTTTCATCTCCCACCCCTACCCCCACCCCCACCCCCCGGCTTTGGACCATTTGCATTTCGCTTCCTTCTACCTTCCTTGCACCCATTTTCATTTTTTTCTTCAGTCTGTCCATAGCAGCTCTTTATTTGCCTTTTTCCTTCCTTAATTCTCACTCACCCTTGGTCCCCTTCTTCACACTGCCCTGGTCTCCCCTCACCCCCTTCCACCTCTGGTCTTACAGCGGACATGGACAAGGCTTGCAGACCTATGTATAGCATTTATTTGTTTTGTGTTATTATTTGTGAACAAGTTTTTATTTTCCACTACACTTAATGGAAAGGAGTTCTATGAATTATTCATCATAAAATTTGTTGTACTTATCATTTGGTAAGAGCTCAACCATTGCTTATTGAATGAATATTGATTGGTTGCAGATGATAACAGGATGTGTAAATGGAAATTCTTTGTAGGGAGTTGGGAAGAATTGAAGTTAAAGGTTTAAATTAGAAAGTAGAAAAACCTTCCTCTAAAGACGTGATTGGATGAATGTTGGGAAAGTGATGTGCTAAAATGCAAAGGCGGCTACCCTCGGAAAGATCCTTGTAAGTTCTATCTCCAGCTGAAGGAAGGAGGGGAGGGTGAGATTAGTTTTCTTTAATGAAAGTGACTGTTGGAGTGGAAAATTAGTTTAAGAAGGAGAGGGAAGAGTTATAATTATTGCTGTGTAAGTATTCATATCTAATGTTTATTGAATGTGTCAGGTAGCATACTAAGTGCCTTGAATGTGTTAAAAATGAGAAATTTAAAAACATTCCAGGTATTGAGGGGTAGGTTGAAATTACAGCAGCTGGGACATGTCTTGATGGTTCTTTTTCCTTCTGGCAGTGAGAGGTAATAAAACATAGTGAGAAAGAGGATAGTTGCAGGTTTATAACTGTCTGAGTTTGAAGCCCTGCTTTGCCACTTAATACCTGTGTGACTGTGGGTGTGGAGAGTTTAGCTAAGCTACTCCATTGTATTGCTACTTTGGCATCCATTTTGTTTGGCCAAGTGACTTGCAGGGACCTTACATTGACATTACTCTCCTCATGCAACCACATGCCCTAGATAGCAGCCCACCAGAGTCACAAGCAAATGTGATTCCTGATACCACTTCCCCAGGAACCATGTGGTCAGCTGTCTCCCCTGCTTCCCAGCACCTGTATGCTGTATGGCCCCCTTAAATATGACTGCCCCAGGGTTGAGCAAAATCTTACTCTTTTAGTTTAAATAGGCTGATCTGGTCTGAGCCTGGGAAACCTAAAACACTCCACCCATAGACCCTAATAAAGGCATATGTCCAGGTCCAGTCTCTGCCTACACTCTGTCTTGACCTCCCTATGTGGACCCTCCAGGCATATGTGTACTTCCTCCCAGATCTGTGAGTAATAAACTATTTCAGTTATTCTTATGGTCTGTTGTTGAACTTTGCCTCACCATCCACTTAATAAATATTAATTAACAAAATCAAAACATTGGGAAAGTTCCTTAACCTCTCTAAGCTTCATTTCTTCACCTGTGAAAAGGAGATAAAAATAGTGCTGACATTTTTAGTGTTGTAATTATCTACTACCTGGAACATAATACATAGTCCATGATTGTAATGGCGGCTTGTTTGCACTAATACCCACATTCCTGTCAGGTAGGCTACAAGCCACATAGGCCCGGGGAAGGGTTTTTCCAGTGTACTAGGAAGGTTTCCACGGTTTCCTTAGCTTTTGGAGGTTGCATATTAGCTATTAGGGTTTCATGGGTGGTAACAAAAATGGTAAAAACAGCCCTCAATTACAGTGGTGACCTACTTCTCCAAGTTAAATGTTTCAGAAAGTTGCCCCCAGTCTGTCAATCAAAAATAAAACAATTTCTTGTTTTAGAATCTTAACCAAAATGTGTAAGAACAGTGTGTATGAAATTTGCATTTGTGCATGTAGAAGATAAATTTATCTTAAGAGTACACCAGTCAGAATGGCTATCATAAACAAAGCAACCAACAACAAATGTTGGAGAGGTTGTGGGGAACAGGGGACCTTAGTTCACTCTTGGTGGGATTGCAGACTGGTACAACCATTATGGAAAACAGTATGGAATTTTCTCAGAAAAATAAAAATTGACCTGCCTTTTGATCCAGCAATTCCACTGCTGAGATTATATCCTAAGAACCCCAAAACATCAATTTCAAAGAACCTATGCACCACAATGTTCATAGCAGCACAATTCACAATAGCCAAGAAGAGCTAGCTGGAAGCAACCTAGGTGCCCATCAGTAAATGAATGGATCCAAAAGTTGTGGTACATATACACAATGGAATTCTATGCAGCAGGGAGAAAGAAGGAACTACTACCCTTTGCAACAACATGGATGGAACTGGAAAGCATTATGCTGAGTGAAATAGGCCAGGTGCTGAAAGACAAATATCATATGATCTCACCTTTAACAGGAAGCTAAACAACAAAATAAACAAGCAAGCAAAATAAAAACAAAGACACTGAAATAGAGAACAAGGGGACAGCGAGCAGAGGGGAGAGGGGAGGGAATTTAAGGGGAAAAATGGGAGGGATTTAGAGAAACAAGTATAAAGGACACATGGACAAAAACTAAGGGGGGTGGAAATGGGAGGGAGATGGGGCGCATGGGGCGGGGTGGGCTGGGATGGGAGAAATAAACAGAAAACTGTACTTGAAAAATAACTAAATAAAAATTTTTTAAAAAGTACAGATGAAACCAGTTAGAAGTAGGGACCATTTTAATGGTGTCCTATCCATGCTGTTGGTGAGGAAGGGATGGCTTCCCTAGGGTTACGGGGAGACTGAACACAGGATACCTGACACTTAACAAATGAGATCCAGAGGCTGGCAAGGTATTGAGACTCACTACCTAGGGATAATGTGGAACTATGCCTGGTTCCTTTGATAAAGAGGGTTGTTTGGCTAGGGGCCCACATCTGCAGGAGCAGAGTGGGGAGGGGAATTTGTACTTAGGCCATTGGAGGCCCTGACTGCAAATGTCTAGGCAGACAGCACATAATATTGTGCCTTAATTTTATGCTTTACACCTTAAGGACTCCATGTCATTACAGTCTGGTAGGCTCCATTGGCCCCTATACTCTTATATTAGAAGTGCTGTTATTTGTGTATTTACTTTTAAGTTGCCTTCTTTTTTTTTTCTTTGCTGGCTATTTGACATTTATTTTTCACTTGGAGAAAAGCACACCATTACAGGGTGTCAGGAAGGCTCATATGTGGAGGAAGGCTCATATGTGGCTTGGATAGCAAAGAGCAGGACTCTCTCAACTCCTTTTTGGTGTTTTGCTGTTTTGATATAAAAGAACCCAACTGTTTCTGTTAGCTGCAGCAACCTGCCTAGTCTATGCTGGGGGTGGGGAGGGGCAAGGGGATAGAGGAGGAGAGTGCAGGAGGAGCCTAGGGCCTCTGGAAGCCTGGTGACTGGTGGTGGCCGCTCAGTATGGGGGCCCAGCTTTGTTTTTGTCAGGCTAGCCTTTGCGCTTCTGGCTTATGGCTTCCCAACCCAGGTCACAGATGATCATGCTGCTGGAGGCCTGGGAAAATTCTGAATGTTCTTGGGACTCACAACACTGTGGCCAAGAACTGGAGAGTGAGCATCCCCAAAAAGCTTGCCCACCGGTGACTTGGCTCATCCTTGGTGATACCAGGGTGGAAGGGGTTGGCTTCCCCTGTGGACTTGAACTTCCACAGGAGCTGTTCCTGGAAGAGGAGCCCATGCAGTGCTGGTAGTAGCTGTGAGTGGCTATAAGCAAGCCACTAGAGGGGATAGCTGCCATGCTTTTGCTTTGTGGGCTGGTAAAAACCTCAGCTGCGGTGACCTCTTGTGGGCACATTCATGGTGGCAGGAACCAGGAGCTAGACCAAGGAGCCCATTTACAGAGCACACTGCACAAGACCATGGCTCCAGGAATGAGACTGCAGGGAGGAGATGCCCCCATAGAAGATTGCCTGTTTCTTGAGGTAGGAATCACTCTGAGTTCCAGCTGTGCATAGTTGTACTTTTTCCCCTGAATAAAGAAGTAGAAATAATGTATTCAAACAATGAAACCAAACATATTTATTTTGTAAAGATTAAAAAAAGACACGAACAGCTGCACTTTGGGAAATTGAGCCCATGTTAGTTCTTTTTTGTTTTGTTTTGTTTTGTTTTTGGTTTATGAATAACTGCAAAAAATAAAACAAACAAAACTGACAAACATAAAGGAACTAAAGAAAAAAAAGAAAAGAAACCCTGAATCTCATAGATTCAGTTTTTGTCACATGGAACTTTTTTCAGAGCTCCTTTTATTTTCTATTACTTCTAATGCTTCATTTTTTTTTAAAAAAAGCTATTTTTACTAATTCCTGGGTTTCTGAAAACTGGAGGGGTTTTTTGTGTTTTTTTTAAACTGGAGTTTTAATCAAACTGAAAAAAATTCCTTTTTTCTTTTATAAATGTGCATAAACAAATGAAGTTATTTCCTAATATAAAACTGTTTCTGTCATAGATTGCAGAAGGTGACATGAGCAGTTGGGAGCTATTGTCATGTATGCAACAGAGAGGATGCACTTGACATTCTCCCATGCTGCATATCTGGCCCAGTCTCTCAAGCTGTCTATAGTCTGTGGGGGCGACTTTGCCCTCAAATCCCCCCCATCTGCCATGGATGAAAGTAAACAAGCACGGGGGGGGGGGCTGGGATGGGAGTAAAAATCAGAAAACTGTACTTGAACAATAATTAAATAAATTTTAAAAAAAAAGAAAGTAAATACTACCAAGACATGATCTGCTTGGGGAGGAGAGGTGGCCAGTTTCTCAGAGGAAAAAGGCCTTGAGCCCTTTCCTCCAGAGGCTTTTATTGGGATGTAATACACAGGAATACAGGGTGGCAAGAATCAAACAGTAGATAACATTTCAAAGAAATCTGAGGGCTCAGTCTGAGTCCGTGTCTGTCAGGAAAGGGGGTTTGCAGAAACTTTGGGAGACATACTCATTTCCTGCTCGGACCCTTAACATATGAATGAAAGCACTCTCAGAAAAGCAGGTTTCACAGGATTTTTAAGAATTCTTTCTTATGCCAGATTTCCCCAGATCCACTCTAGCAAGGCAAGGAGCTATACCACCTCCCCATCACAAGTTTTCAGGCTTCAGTGGATTAGAGCCAGGAAGTGCTTCTCCCAGAGGACATGGGGACTCAGGCTATGTCGCATAGCTGGGGGGCAAGGGTCCACTGCTCCGTCTTTGTCGCAGCCCCCCCCCGAGTCCTTTCATGATGGCCTCCCAAGTGATTGAGTCTGGCTTAGGTTGCCCCTTGCTGTGAGGAGTCTTACCCGTCATAGACATCAACCATGTTTCTGGGGCAGGGAGAGGAAACTGAGGCAGCGTTTGCTTCCAGAGACAAGCCTTGTCTCCTGTGGCTTGCATTCTGGGGGTCACTCATTCATCCTTAGCCATGGGGGGTAGTTACAATTCCTTAAACCAGACAGAGTGGTTCCCAACAGTAGTTTGTACAATTTGATATCAGAACATCAAATCCTAAATGTTGAGTTTACATTTATACCAAGTTTTATTAATTTAAAGTTTAAAATATGAAAGGAAACTTAACTGGACCTGTTGAGTTTCACACACACATACACATAAATGGAAGAAACAGAATTCAGCCATTGAATTACTGACATGCCTATATTGAGAGAGGGTTAGAGAATTGGAAGCTCCTGAAGTATGGGAACTTTCTCCAAAAAATTCTTGTTAAAGGCTGAATTGTGACACCCTCCCCCAGAATGTTGAAGCCGTGGCCCTCAGAGTGACTATGGTTGATATTAGGGCCTTTAAGGAGGTTATTGAGGTTAAACGATGACATAAGGACGGGGCTTTATTTGAAAGTACTGGCATCCTTATCTGGAAAGGAAGAAGCACCAGAGACAGATGTTTCTTTCCACCCCTCCCCCAACCAGGTGTACACAGAGGAAATACCACATGAGAATGCAGGGTAAAGGCAAGAATCTACAAGACAGGAAGAGAGGTCTTACCAGAAATCAACCTTGATGGCACCTTAATCTTTGACTTCTAACCTCCTGAATGGTAGGAAAAATAATTCTGTTGTTTAATAACCCAGTCTGTGGTATTTTGTTATGGAAGCCCTAGATGACTAATATAATCCTGAAATAGAGTAATTTGTAAAAAAAAAAATTTTAATTTTATAACATTTGTTAAATCCAGAATCTCTTGATAAATTTTTATTAAATGAAAAGCTTTAAGTACATTTCATATTTTCTTCTTTCCTGTGATTTATCCTCTTAATCCCTTAAAATTTTTAACATTTATCTATTTTTAGAGAGAAGGTAAGTGAGGGAGAAAGAGAGGGAGAAAAACGTTGATGTGACAAAGAAACACTGATCAGTTGCCTCTTGTATGCACCCTGACCGGGGCTGAACCTACAACCCAGGCATGTGCCCTGACCTGGAATCAAACCAGTCACCTTTTGTTTTGTGGGAGGATGCCCAACCAACTGAGCCTTGCCAGTCAGGACTCTCCCTTAAGTTTTAAAAACATGAAACATACCTAAGAATTAAAACAGGTTGCCATTGGATTTTACCATGCTGATTGTTCTGTTTAACTTATAATTCACGGGATGCTAATTTCTTAATCATAAAAGGGTTCAGTGTTAAAATAAATAATATTTATATTATTTTAAATTACTTTTTTCTCAACTAACTCAATGGTAGATTGCATGCCAGATTTTAGCATTACAAAGGAATTTTTAAAATTCTTATCCAAGGATATGTTTATTGATTTTGACAGAGGGTGAGGGGAGAGACACATCAATGTGAGAGAGAAATTGGCTGCATCTTATATGTGCTCCAGCTGTAGATTAAACCCATATCCCAAGGATGTGCCCTGACAGGGAATTGAATCTGAAGGAGATAACACTGCAACCAACTGAGCCAACCTGGCCAGGGCTACAGAGGAATATTAAAAATAATATACCAGTATGGTTTTGTTTAGTTAATTTTCCTATATCTAATATTATCTGGAAGTTTAATACTTCTCTTCTACTTACTTCTTTTCTCCTTGATGCTGTTCATATACTTTAGGTTGAGTTGAGACAATGTGCTTCACAAGTAAACTTTATAATTTGTGACAGGGTGATAAAGCATTATTTTCAGAAACTGTTCTTACAGATGTTCTTATAGCAACCTGAAATAGAATTAGATTTGGAGGAAACCCTAAAAATAATTTTCTAGGTGATACCTAAATTATTTCAAGTGTAATTTCTAGAGGAAAAGATTATATGATATGAAAATTGCATTTTTAAACTTTATATAATTTTAATAACTCATTTTTGGAATTCTCTACAACAGAATGAGATGTGTTTTTACTGTAGTGTGTGAGGATCTTCTTGCTTTGGGGAGACAAAACAGTTGCTGCTCTGCCATATGTCCTTTACACATGTAGAATAAAATTATGACATCTTCCCACAGCCTTCTTATCCCCACTTTCTTTCATCTTTCCTTATGGCTCCCTACATCTGCTCTGAGATTTCTTCTGAAAATATAAATCTTACGTGATGCTTTCAGTTTGCCTAGCACTTTGTAAACTACTAAATTATTATGCAAGTATAAATGATTATGTAATTATAAAGGTGGTAGACTACTGAGGAGTACTCTTACGAAGTTATTCCAGTGTTTGCTTTTAATGGTTCTTGGATAATCAGTGTCATTACTTAAAAAAGATGTTTTTTTAGGATTTTATTTATTTTAGATGGAAAGAGAGGAAGAGAAACATCAATGTGTGGTTGCCTCTCATGCACCCCCCCACCGGAGACCTGGCCCATAGCCCAGGCATGTGCCCCACCTGGGAATTGAACTGGCAATCCCTTGGTTCACTGGCCAACAGTCAGTCCACTGACCCACACCAGACAGGGCTCATTACTAAAATAATTTAATTCTACATGTTTATATTCCATGGTTCATATTTCTAATTTTTATAACGATGTTCTTTAAATTCACCTCTGATGAACATATACCAGTAAAGGATGAGGAACCAAAGAAAAGCACCACTTCAGCTTCTACATCACAAGGTATGTTTTAAATACAGAGCTTTTTTATTTAGAAGTTAAAAAATAAATTTATAAATAGTTAAACATTAGGCTTCACTTTTGTTCAAATTGTCTATCACACATTCTTTTTTCAGTATTTCAAAAACAATAAAATTGATACTCAGATATATATATATATAGATATAGATATGGATACTTTAGAAGTTAGTTTTTATTTGTATTCTATGTAGAAGAAAAGAAGAAGAAGAAGAGGAAGATGAAGAGGAGGAGGAGGAAGAAGAAGAAAGCATCTAAAAGAAAACACAAGAATTATTCTGACGATAGTGACAGTGACTCTGATTCTGAAACAGACTCCTCTGGTAAGATAGTCACATGATTCTGCAGGCCTCAGCTCAGAACTACTTTTACATTCTAAAGCTTATTTCAGAAGCAGGTTCTTAAAAACAATAATAATAGTCAAGAGTTTTTGGACGCTCACTGACTTTGGGATGGGCACCCAGCTACGTGCTTGCTATGTCATCCACACGGCAACTGTAGGATAGTTCTTCGAGAAGGGGAAAAGAGGCATGGAGCATCATTGTCACACATTTGGGATTCAGATGTAACCAGGGTGACTAGATCGGTTGTGTGCAGGTGTCCAAGGCATGTGGCACCAAACCAAGTTGGGGTTGGGCTGCAAGACATGGTACCAAACCAAGCCATATGGGGCTGCCTCATTTGCGCCTAGTCCTGCCTGATGATCAGCAGAGGCTGCCTCCTCTGGGGACACATTACATAAACGTGTCCCCTCCTCTCCTGTCACCTGGATTTCCTGGCCCCCACTGTCACTTTTCTTTCTCACTGCTGGAAGAACCAACTTTCTTTTTTTTTTCTTTAATTATTTTTCAGCTACAGTATTCTGTCTTTTACTCCCATCCTAGACCACCCCCCATACCCCCCACCTCCCTTCCATTTCCACCCCCCTTAGTTGTTGTCCATGTGTCCTTTATACTAGTTCCTATAAATCCTTCCCCTTTTTCCCCTGAAATTCCCTCCCCTCTCCCATCTCGTCGCTGTCCCCCTGTTCTCTATTTCAGTATCTTTGGTCATATTTTGCTTGCTTGTTTGTTTTGTTGTTTAGTTTCCCGTTAATGGTGAGATCCCATGGTATTTGTCTTTCACTGCCTGGCTTATTTCACTTAGCATAATGCCCTCTGGTTCCATCCATGCTGTGGGAAAGGAAAGGAGCTCCTTTCTTTCTGCTGGGTAGTACTGCATTGTGTAAACGTACCATGCTGTTTTGATCCACTCATGTACTGATGGGCACTTAGGTTGCTTCCAGCACTTGGCTATTGTAAATTGTGCTGCTATGAACATCAGGGTGCATAGGTTCTTTTGGACTGGTGTTTCAGGGTTCTCAGGGTATAATTCCAGCAGCGGAATTGCCGGGTCAAAAGGCAGGCCCATTTTTAGTTTTCTGAGGAAATTCCACACTGTTTTCCATAGTGGTTGCACCAGGGTGTAATCCCACCAACAGTGCACTAGGGTTCCCTTTTCTCCACACCCTCTCCAGCATTTGTTGCTTGTTGCTTTGTTTGTGATGGCCATTCTCAACAGTATGAGATGGTATCTCACTGTGGTTTTAATTTGCATCTCTCTGATGGCTAGTGATACTGAGCATCCTTTCATATGTCTATGGACCCTCTGTATGTCCTCCTTGGAGAAGTGTCTGTTCAAGTCCTTTATCCATTTTTTAATTGGGTTGCTTGTCTTCCTGAAACGGAGTTGTGTGAATTCTTTATATATTTTGGAGCTCAAACTCTTGACTGAGGTATCCTTGGCAACTGTGTTTTCCCATACGGTTGGTTCTCTTTTCATTTTAATACTGTTTTCTTTGGCTGTGCAGAGGCTTTATATTTTGATGAGGACCCTTTTGTTTATTCTTTCCTTTATGTCCCTTGCTCTAGGGGACACATCAGTGAAAACGTTGCTGCATGGAATATCTGAGATTTTCCTGCCTATGCCCTCCTCTAGGACTTTAATGGTGTCACGGCGTATATTTAAGTCTTTTATCCACCTTGAATTTATTTTTGTATATGGCATAAGTTGGTGGTCGAGTCTCATTTTTTTGCATGGAGCTGTCCAGCTCTCCCAACACCATTTGTTGAAGAGGCTATCTTTGCTCCATTTTATGCTACTGCCCACTTTGTCGAATATTGATTGACCATAGAGACTTGGGTTTGTTACTGGGGCTTCTATTCTGTTCCATTGGTCCATGTGTCTGTTCTGATGCCAGTACCAGGCTGTTTTGATTACAGTGGCCTTGTAATACAGTTTGGTATCAGGTATTGTGATTCCTCCTACTTCGCTCTTCTTTCTCAAAATAGCAGCAGCTATTCGGGGTCATTTACGGTTCCATATAAGTTTTTGAAATGTTGGTTCTATATTTGTGAAGTATGCCGTTGGTACTTTAATAGGGATTGCACTGAATCTGTAAATCGCTTTGGGTAGTATGGACATTTTGATGATGTTAATTCTTCCGATCCATGAACATGGTGTATGTTTTCATTTGTTTGTGTCTTCCTTGATTTCTTTATCCAGTGTTGTGTAGTTTTCTGCATACAGATTTTCTACATAAACCTTGATTAGGTTATTCCTAGGTATTTGATTTTTCTTGTTGCTATATCAAATGGGATTTTTTTCCCTGACTTCTGTTTCTGATATTTCATTTTTGGTGTACAAAAATGACTTTGATTTCTGGATATTGACTTTGTATTCCGCTGTTTTGCCAAATTCATTTACTAGGTCAAGCGGTTTTTTGGTGGAGTCTATAGGGTTTTCTGCGTACACTATCATGTCATCTGCAAACAACGACAGTTTTGTTTCCTCTTTTCCAATTTGGATGCCTTTTATTTCTTTTTTCTTGTCTGATCGCTGTGGCTAGGCTTTCCGATGCTATGTTGAATAGAAGTGGTGAGAATGGACAACCATGTCTTGTTCCTGATCTTAGCGAGAAATTTTTCGTTTTTGCCCATTGAGTATGATGTCGGCTGTAGGTCCCTCATATATGGCCTTTATTATGTTGAGGAATGCTCCCTCTATTCCCACTTTGCTGAGTGTTTTTTTTTTATCATAAATGGGTGCTGTACCTTATCCAATGCTTTTTCTGCATCTATTGATATGATCATGTGATTTTTATCTTTGGTTTTGTTTATGTGGTGTATTACATTTATCGATTTGCGGATATTGTATTGTCCTTGCATCCCTGGGATGAATCCCACCTGGTCATGGTGTATGATCTTTTTAATGTATTGCTGGATACCGTTTGCCAATATTTTGTGGAGGATTTCCGCATCTATGTTCATCAGCGATATTGGTCTGAAGTTTCCTTTCTTTGTTGTGTCTTTATCTGGTTTTGGGATTAGGGTGATGCTGGCCTCATAAAAAGAGTTTGGGGGGCTCTTCCCTCTTCTTGGATTTTTTGGAATAGTCTGTGAAGGATAGAGGTTAGCCCTTCCTTGAATGTTTTGTAGAATTCTCCTGTGAAACCATGTGGCCCAGGGCTTTCTTATGTCGCTAGTTTTGTTTTTTTTTTTTTTTTATCACTGCTTCAATTTCATCAGCTGTTACTGGTCTGTTCAGGCTTTCTGCTTCTTCTTCATTGAGTTTTGGAAGATTGTATTTTTCTAGAAATGTGTCCATTTCCCCTAGGTTTTCAAATTTCTTGGCATATAGTTCTTCATAGTAATTTTGTACAATCCCTTCTATTTCTGTGGTATCATTTGTAATCTCTCCTCTTTCATTTCTGATTGTATTTATTTGGGTCCTCTCTCTTCTTTTCTTAATGGGCCTGCTTAAAGGCTTGTCGATTTTGTTTATCTTTTCAAAGAACCAGCTCCTGGATTCATTGATCCTTAGAACTGTGCTTTTAGTCTCTGTGTCATTCAGTTCTGCTCTGATGTTGGCTATTCCTTCCTTCCTCTTGCTCTGGGCTGTCTTTGTTGTTCTTCTTCGAGTTCTTGTAGGAGTAGCGTTGGGTTGTTTATTTGAAATGTTTCTATTTTTTTTAGATAGGCCCGTATAGCTATGAACTTCCCTCTCAGGACAGAAAAGTCCAATTAGATCATTGGCCTGTCTTAAGATTGCAGCACCTGTCCCCCCCCCACACACAGCTCCGTACATTTCTCTCCCCCACGTGGCTTTCTTGCAACATCTCTCTCCTCTAGCACTTCTATTTACATGCAAATACTCCTTGCAGGATCTGCAGGGAGGGGCAATGTTACTTTTGCCAGGTGTAGGTCTTGCTTTCTTCCTCCCAAGAAATTGCTACAGCCTTGCTGCACCCCGCATCAAGCATTTAAAAGCCACTAGGGTGCTTGCTGTAACAAAGACACCCATCAGAGGATAATCTGGAACGTGGACCAGGGCAGAATGCTAGGTTTCCCCGCCAGCCTCGAGCAGAGGTCCACGCACTGAGAGGTCACTTTGTAGAAGCAATCACACTCCCATCCCTGGGGCCCATTCTCCACATGGTGGGTTTAGTTCTCGAGAGGAGAAAGCAAGATTTTAGCCCTCCGTGGAAAGTGCTGTCTTTTCCAGGTCCTTTCCTCCTAATGATACTTTTCTTTGTTCAAATTTACTTCATTCCTAAGTTTCCCCCCTTTTCATTTCACAATACACCCCTTAAGTCGAATTTTGGTAATCTAATCAGGCTTAAGTTTTAGGGGACTTATCATGCTTACTTTAGAATGTTGGGTATGTATATTGCAGAAGGTTCAGGTAAGTTGTAGATGGTCTGTGCAAGTTGAAGAAGGATTGTGTGGGAGGAAGAAGGAAGGAAGAAGAAGGGATTAAGGAAGTGAAGGACAGGGAAGGAGAAAGAATGAATAGAGGAAGGGAAGGAAGGAATAAAGGAAAGAGATATATGCCACATCCATGTGCAGCATGGGAAGGAAAGATATTGGAAGGAGGAAAAGTAAGCATACAAGTCTTTGAAACACTGCAAAATTCTAGACCTGGGAGCTACCAGGTCCTGAGAACAATAGGGTAACTCAAAGGACTGGCAAGCTAAACAGGCTCCAGTTTTAAGGAACGCGTACGTATTTTAGAATGTATTTTAGAACGTGTGTCTTAAAGAAGGGAAATCGACATACAAGTTTTTGAGACACTACAAATTATTCAAACTCATAATAGCTTGCGGGAGCAGCAAGCTCCCTTCCTGTTTTTCCAACACAGAGGGAAAAGTTACATTTTAAAACTTTCCATTTTTCAGGCACTGCTTGAGGTCTGAGCATGATATCTCAGGGTTTTTTTTTCCCTCAGATTCCTGAGCAGAGCGGAGAGGGTGGGGGAGGCCACTCTTAAGGGGAAAACAAACTGCTTTCCAGCTTACTCCCAGGGAATAGCTATCACTGTTTAACACCTTAACTCCCAGCTAAGCTTTTTGCTCCCAGAAAGACGCAGGAACTACTATGACTCTTCCTCAACCCCCTGGAAGAGGGGCTGGGCAGTCTTGCCACTGCCTATGTCAGCTTATGATGTTTTTCCCTCTTCTAGATGGAGAATTGAGAGTCCGTTCCTGCTGGTACCCCCTTGAAGAGGTATCCTTCCTAATTGGTCACAGTTTGATCCTTAAAACTTAAAGAAAGACTGACATTATTTTGGTAACACAGCCTAGCCCCAATATTGACGAGGGGATGGGGAGGTTTGGCCACTGTATGGGACCCTAAAATTCACCCCAAGGCCTAGAGAGGAGAAAGGGAGGGGGTAGTCTCACTGCTGTCCATCTTCACCAGATGGTTTTGCCACCCTGTCATGAGGTGGCCTCGCCATTGTCCATCCTTTGTGTTTTTTCCTTCTCTGGATACCCCTGGTACCGCCAGCCCCCCCTCCAGGGGCAAAGTCAGATAACAGCTTTGTCAGGTAAACTCCTCCCACTGGCTCGGGGGAAGATGTCTCCTCCTTCCCCATGAGAAATCAGGAGTCTATCCCAGATGGAACCCCACTAGGCACACTTTGACCTCAAAACTCTGAACAAGGAAAGACTAATATTTTTTTCTGCGATACTGCTTGGCTCCAGTATCAGCTAAGGGATGGGGAATCTTGGCCAGTATAGGGAGCTTAAATCACAATGCCATATTCCAAGTTGGTAACTTTTCAGAAATCCCATATGCACAGACATTCTTCCATTTAAGGGGCAGAGGAGACCTACACTGCAAATGTGAGCTATGTCCTACCACAATACCATCTAATAGCCATCCCACAGGCATTTTCCCATCCACATTCCCACCCTACAACTGGGAGAGGGAGGCCAGGTTTCAGGAGAAGGGGGAACAGAAAGAGGCTAGGCACGCCCAAGTTCTAGCCGTGCTTATGGGACATTCACAGTCACATCCTACGGGCCCTGCACAGCCTGCTCCAAGTAGCACTAAGTGTCATGTGTGCCGAGAGCTAGGGCATTGGGCCCAGGAGTGTCCTGATCAAAGTAGGCTACCTTGTATGCCCTGCTTCAAATGCAAGACTGCAGGCCATTGGGCAGCCCTCTGTCCCTGAGACCATAGGGGCCCTGAGCCTGAGGCTGCAGCTGCCTTGCAAATGGGAACCCAGGACTGAAACCACCTGCCCCAGTCGGCCCCACCTCAAGAGGCCACCACCACTGGACTGGAGCCCAGGGTCTGCATGAATGTGGCAGGTAGAACAATAAACTTTTACACAGGAACCACCTATTCTGTCCTTACTTCCTCCTCTGGACCCCTCTCCTCACAGTCCTAGGAATAACAGGAAAACCTGCAGTGAGGTAGGAGCCACCCTCATTTATTTGGACAAGCATTGCAGAGGTGTAGAGACAAACTTAAGGCCACCAACATGAACAAGCCAAATCAGGAGACATGGTGTATCTAAAACCTAGAAGGGTTCACTTCAGGTCCTACTCAACACCCCAACTGCAGTAAAGCTCATGGGGATAGCCAGTTGGGTCCTTCCATCTCAAATTAAACCTGTTTCTTATAAGCCCCCACAGGAACCACAGCCTGAGATGTACACTTGTGAATCCATTTAGGACCTCCAGCTTCTCTTCAAAAAACAAAGACCCGATACAAGTAAGTAAAACAACAATCAGGACACTCTTTCTACCAGCCTGTCAGTACTAGTTAGTATAAGATAAAATCCTAAGGCTGGTGTCCCAGTCCTTCCTTGAAACTGTGTCTTTGTCATCTTTGTTTCTGTTTCGAAAAGGAGCGGCTTAGTTTTGTTTTGTTTTGTTTTGTTTTGTTTTTCCCACCAGAGAGCCCGTTGTGTAGACAGTAAAACTTAGGAAGAAAAAATGAGTCATTTAAACACTCTGAATTCTCCTTCTGGAGGCCTAGCAGCTGCAGTCCCAGGAACAGGCCATGCCGTGCTTGATATTTCATGCTCTATCTCTTCGTTCGGGGTCGAAGGACACATCTACTGCAGGGTCGACTGATGACATTCTAGATGATCTCCCTCTAAGTTAAGGACAAGGATTTCCCATCATGCTTTATATATATATATATTTTGTCCCTACCTGTTCCCTCCAGAATTTGGCATTCTGAAAAAGTGAATAAAGACATAAGGTTTCTTTTTTAAAATTTTATTTAGTTATTTTTCAAGTATAGTTTTCTGTCTATTTCTCCCATCCCAGCCTCCCCCACCCCGTGCTCCCCACCTCCCTCCCATTTCCACCCCCCTTAGTTCTCGTCCCTGTGTCCTTCCTATTTGTTCCTCCAAATCCCTCCCCTTTTTCCCCTTGAATTCCCTTCCTTCTCCCCTCTGGTCACTGTCCCCTTGTTCTCTATTTCAGCATCTTTGTTTTTTTTTTTCTGCTTGCTTGTTTGTTTTGTTGTTTAGCTTCCTGTTAAAGGTGAGATCATATGGATGTGTCTTTCAGCACCTGGCCTATTTCACTCAGCATCATGCTTTCCAGTTCCATCCATGTTGTTGCAAAGGGTAGTAGCTCCTTCTTTCTCTCTGCTGCATAGAATTCCATTGTGTATATGGACCACAATTTTTTGCTCCATTCATTTCCTGATGGGTACCTAGGTTGCTTCCAACCCTTCGCTATTGTAAGACATAAGGTTTCTGAGCACAAAAGCGATAAGACCAGTTACTAATAGTAGTTTTGCCAATGGAGACTTTGACTGGAATGTCATACCTGAAGCAGGCATGCCTGGGCTCTGGTTGTCACTAAAAAGCCTTGAGGAACTGGGATTGACTTTCAAAGCTGGTGAAAGCCCACTGAAGGAAAAGCCTGGTACCTTGGTTGGTTGTGCAGTTCGTAGCAGTCTTCCCAGGGAAGGAATGAAGGTTGCTTTCCTAAAAGATGGCTAGGAGGACTTGAGAGAAGCAGGTGCTACAGGTGAGGCCAGATGGCAGGTGTGTATCTCAGCTTCTGTGTCCTGAAGGGCAGACTAAAGAGTCAGTCTAAAGGTTTCTTGTGTGAGTTCCAGCAAAGCAGACTTAAAGATCAATTGCTGTGTTTAGGCAAACAAACAGGAAAAATTAAAAGCAAATAAAATATAACGAGAGACATTTAAATTAAGAACAATCTAACAATAACCAGAGGGGCGGGGGAGGGGGACAGTGCGGGAAAGGGTTTTCAGGGGAGTACTATAAAGGACACATGGGAAAACCAAGGGGGAGGGTGGAAGCAAGGGAGGGAGGGGGTGTTTGGCTGGGCTGCGGCAGAGTGGTGGGGGGAGGAATGCAGACAACGGTAACTGAACAAGAATAAAATAAATTTTAAAAATTAAGAAAAAAGATAAATATCGGCAATGTCTAATGACCATTCTTCAAATAAACGTAACAGATTGTGCATTTACAGTAATAAGTGTTTCTTTTTATAATGGAAAAAAATCTGGATTTAATGTAGTCCCTGTAATGACAATAAGGGTGATCTTAGGGAGAAAAATCATAATTCGAGGGAAAATTACAATACTCAGTGGAGGACATTAGACTAGTACTGCTGTTTTCAAAGTTTGTTTTCATTTGGAAGTGGACACTGGGTTTGTAACATCATTAAAGATGCTCGATTTACAGGCAAGAAGGACCTGCCAAATTGCCACTGTTAAATGTCATTCTAGTAAAGGCCTTGCAACTGGACGTCTTCCGAAAGACAGTCTCGCAGACTCAGAGACTGGTTTGTAGGCTGCTGTGTAAAATTAACCATTTTGCACAGGTTTCCCTGTCCACGTGATGAGCCTCTGCACCTGTTCCAGCCCAGGAGACCGAGTCTTACTGAAGACCTGGAAGACTCAAGGCCCTGAACAGCACCTGGCACCTATGATGTCCTGTTGACAACACATTCTTCTCTAACGCTGATGGGAATCAAGTCCTAGGTCCACCACACAGGTGCTCTAAAGCTACAGATGATTGTCACAAACAACTACCAACCTCAAGGACAGGAGGCCCCAGACATCTATCACAGGCCAATGAAAAAACACTTGCCCCCACCAACAGTTAGCAAGCAGACAGAACCCAGTGAAGTGTCAATGTCCCTTCTGCAGCAGGAAGCAGCCAGATCAGTCATCGCCCCAAAGCCCTCAAAAGTCGGGTTCTGAATCCTTGAGGGGGCAATGTTAGGTAGGATTGACAGCAAACCAAGGCAGGGAAGAGGACGGAGACACAACTCACCCATTGACCCAGTATCCCTGAGCCCAAAGTCCTGAAAAATTTGGGTCCCTATTACTCGAGGGGGGAAGGTTATGGTGGAATGAGTGGCCAGAGGGGAAATAAAGGCAAGGCCCTCATTATTACAATCTAACCAAGAACTTAGCACAGGAGGCTAAAAGCACAAGCTCACACATTGACCCAGAAATCCCGAGCCTGGTCTGATAAGACTGCCGGGTGTGTGTCCCGAACAACAAGTGAACTATGATAGTGCAGGAGGCGGTGGTGAGGGGGGTCCCTGAAAGTCTGTGTGTATCACCTCCACTAGCTGGGAACAGGAAAACCTTGAGACTGTGTCCTCATCTCAAGGCCTGGAAGGGGGAAGGGGAGGGGTCCACCGTGCCCAAAGAAAAGCCCCTAAAACAACTTTGGTTAACTGCCTGCCTCCTGTCACATCTGCAACACGAACAAATAGAGTCTGGAGCAAGATAAGGATTTGGGCTAAGAAACCCCCCACCCACACCTATGTTTGGGTAATCACGTCTCCCTCAGAACGCTGGCTCCACCCTTACCTGCCACTCAAAATGTAACTTCTTCACCCCCACCCCACCCCACCAAATAAAGGACTCTCCCTCTCTTGGCCTCTTCTCTTGGCCCCATGGCTCTCTCATCACACAGGGGGATCCCTGGCCAGCCAGCCTCAACCCGGGGGGCTCCTGGCCACTTCTCTGCTGGCCACCTGGCTTCTAGCCACCTATTCTTTGACCACCGTTGCTCTAGCCACCCTTGCTTCTGCTTTCCTATTAGAACTTAGCATTAGAAAACTTTGCTTGCATGCTCGCAGGCTCACTGGCTCGTAATTCTTTACTGTGTTAGCAAGAAGAACCGAGTTTCTGGGAGTTCTTCCTATAACAATGTGAGTGTCTTCTGTCATTCATTGGGAGCCCTTTTTGAGTTTATGCCATGGAGAGTAACTTGGGGTGGTACCCCTGGATGGCCTCAGGATTGGGCTGGTCACCAGAAAGATCA